CACACGGACCGCACACACCACCCCTAGGGTACGCCTCACTGTTGCCTTTCGAAAGGTGATCGTCGAGTAGAGGATGTCTTAGCAAGTCCTCATGATCCGGGAACCCGGCATGAGGGTAGCTTCTAAGGTGTCTTCCCATTGCTCCGGTGATCACCATGTCCCTATAAACTCGAATTGACCCGAACACCTCCAACGGTGGTGCTACCTACCTCTAAATGGTGGGATGGCACTACTTTAAAGGACATTTACACAGACGAATTCCTTAGGGTAGGTAGGTTCTCGTAGATACTTGCTCTCTTCAAAAACAAAACAAATAATACTTTTCACCAACACATTTTCAAAAGCTTTCAAAGCAAACTTTTCAAACACTCTGACGTACGAGTCGAACTGAAATTTTTCAAAGAAACTTTTTAAACCCACATTGAAAAGCAAACAAACAATTTTGAAAACACATTGAGCAAGTATCTAAGAGCCCATGGATAACCATGGATAGAAAGGGTGCTAACACCTTCCCTTTCTATAACCTACCTCCCGAACCGAGAGCAATCTCTTTTAAGGAATTTTTCTGTGCTTTTGTCCTTTCCATTTGGAGAAAATAAAAGACGGTGGCGACTCTTGCTTACCGCGACATTTCGCGAACCAGCTTTAAAACAGTCAGTTCCAGATCCACCGATCACACACAATCAAGAGTGTAATAAATTGCTAACAAAATGTAATAGAAATAAAGCGACATAGAGAGAGAGAGAGAGAGAGAGAGAGAGAGAGAGAGAGAGAGAGAGAGAGAGAGAGAGAGAGAGAGAGAGAGAGAGAGAGAGAGAGAGAGAGAGAGAGAGAGAGAGAGAGAGAGAGAGAGAGAGAGAGAGAGAGAGAGAGAGAGAGAATGAAATGAGGATTTGTTAAGGAAGTTGACTAATCGTCCTTGTTATGGCTACGTCTCTCCCCAATTTCATTTTAGGATTGAGACCAATTTCTTACTAGTTGCAAAAGTATGTTTACAAGAGAAATGTTGCAATGCACGCCTACAACACCAATGGTTGTAATGATCCAACAAAATTCTCTTTAGCTTGATAGATTTAGATCAATCCCCCAACAACTCCAATTGATCAATCGTCTCGCGCTACTATCTTAAAGAAAACCCCACCTTTAATGTTCACTCGATCGAATCCGATTGCAAGCTTGTTGTCACCCAAGAATACTCGACGATTCACCGTCTCACGCTACTAGGCTTGCAAGGACCACCCCGTTCTTCAAGGTCTTCACTCGGTCGAATCCAATATTGGTACAATATTGTCAAAAACCCTCAAATCTTCATAGGATCTTGAGGTAAAAATTCTCGCATTTTTTCCGAATGAAACCCCTTTAATTATCCGTGCAATCTTAGGTTACAATCAACCTAAATTGAACGTTATCAACTGAGTATAGATGGCATACAAACAATGAATAATTACGTGCACGTTGTTTGCGCGTATGCATAGGGTCAAGGTCGAAGATAAAGAGCAATCAAGTAAGTGTTTATAGTTTCATCAAAATGAAAATGATGCATGTATGAGACTTGGAGGCAAAAGAAAGACCTAGAAACACAAGAGAAAAACTGATTTTTAAAGTTCGGTACATGATGTATTGACACAAACAAGTGATGTATCAACACATACAAGAAAAAGCAAGACACATGTGTCGACCTGTAACAGGTTATGAGTCAACACAAACTTCCAGAGATTTTCAAGCTTAAAAATAATAGCACATGAATCGACACGAAACACGAATGTGTCAATACATAGAGCAGTTTTAAAGACATGTGTCGACACAAACAAGAGGATGAGTCGACACAAGTTTACAGAGAATTATTTTCTTAAAACAACAACACATGTGTCGACACGAAGCGCGAATGTGTCGACACATAGACATGAATTTTGTGCAGAGACTTATTTTTCTTTTATGAGACCAATGGATAACCAAACCAAACTTGTTCTATATGCTTCTTAAGGTTTCTAATGACTTCTAATGTAAGGGTGCATACAAATACTCAGAGATATCGTTCAATATACAGAAACGTTAAATCAACTCTTAATTTTGACATCATGCAAAACATCTAAAAGAGAAATGCATCCACAAGATAAAATAACCACTTGCAACATCATTAGATTGATTTGAATAAAATCACAATTTTTGTGGACTGGATTGGGTGGGGTTGTGGGTTACCCAATGTTTTCCTCTTTTTATTTTCTTTCTTATATAATTATAAATGATGTGTCGTATTTTTTTCTCGAAAAATGCTCCAACCATAAACATACTTTCAAAAACCAAAATTGCATTACAGTAGTACCTAGAAGTACATTAAACACTTTGAACTTCCAAGAATTAGCATCAAAATAATTAAAGTGTAACATCCTAAATAATTAAAATAAGTCTTACAAAATAAAAATGTTCAAAGTTGTAATTCAAACAATAAAGATTAGACACATCAAAGTCGTTTCTCATCAAATTATAAATATATAGTAAAAAAAAAATCATCTAATAACCCATAGATTTCGTAAGTTGAGTCTAAATTTACCCAAAACCCAATTAGTTTGAATGAGTTTTCATTTTTCAAAACTATATTCACCCAATAACTCGATCCAATCCATTTTTTGGATTGATTTAGGTGAATTTTATCAAATTTGTAGAGTATATCCAACACATATACATTCGTATTGTGATCCACCACCACCGTTATTTCTCCTCTCATTTCTGATTTCCAAACGGAACAGTATTTATTACCCATAATTTAGATGAGAATCAAATTCATGACCCAGCAATATTTCACTACGGTTAATAATCTTGATCGTGGTAAAATGTGGAAAGCTACCTAGTTTATCTTCATGATCACTAACTAATGATGAAAAATAACACACTTTCTATCACACCCTTCGTTACTAATGACCACCAAGTATTCATTTTGCAACCATGGTAAAATAGATTTTTGTAATATTGCTTCTTGAGTTTTTCTTATGTTTTTCCAACTTATAAAAGGTAGAGTCTAGTACACTCTTCAGCTTTCTGATCATCTTCCATAACTCTAAAATCTTAAATTCACACAAGTTAGAAAAGAATTTAGTAACACATTTCAAATTCTAAGTAATCTCACTAATGAACAACAAATTACAATCAATTTTGACACGTATAGAATTGAGTCAAATATAATATTTTGACAAATAATAATTATTTTTTTACTCATGATCTTAGTATGTATCCTATCATATGACAATAAAGTTAAAGAGATTAAGAAAATAACTACTAAACACAAAATAACCAACATGTGATCTGAAACTCCTTAGTTAATGACTCGTGACTTTATTTTATTTTTATTAGTGTTTAGATCATATAGATAATTACCTTTTTAGATCACATTAACATTATCGATTTTTCCTGCATTCAACATGGTATGCTAAGGAGCTTTTGAAGTAACTCAATTTATTCTTGACGGGATGGAAATGGGTTAGAATTTATCTCAATTTTGTAATGGTTAAAGATTATGTTACCTTTTATTTTTTGCTTTTGAATTATCTGGCTTTTGAAGGCTTTCCATGCATGACCTAACGTGTTTCTATAGTGTGGCATGACCTTTTGCAATTACCACACTAGAGGTAGAATTTCCCATCGTGAAAACTGATCAGAAAAGATTCAATCTTCATCTTGAATAATTTATCAATTTTTAAGTTGTCCATGATTCGACTACGTTAAATTAAGGATGGTTCAGATTATACCATATAAAAACATATTTTTATATTTCATAGCGTGTAAAAATATTTTTTCATATTTCATATTGGTAAATATTACATAAGATGTATATATAATTAATAGAACAAAGAGAGAAGAACTAATTTAATCTAAAAATCAAAAAAATATTTTTATAGATGTTAAGATTATATGTGATAAAAACGACACAAATACATAAGGTTCTATGAGTTGTCCACAACAATTACAAAATAGAATCTTTCGATTATGTATAGCAAATTTTTTGCTGATCATCAACATAAAAGAATAATGTCCAATATAGTCCTCTAAATATAGGTTGGACTATAGTCTATGTATGTTCTTTTTTAATGAAAAAAGTAAATTAAGAATGATTAACATCACGCGTCTCAAACTCTTTCATTAAGAATAACGATAACTTTTTCTTTATTTTGAGCATCTTCTAATAATAGTAAATTCTATTAAGGGTAAGGGTAAGGTCAGTGTCACCTGATAAGTGAACATTTATTTATATGAAAGATATTACTTAGTCAAATAAGAGAACAGCAAATTTTGCTACTTACCCCGAAAGATCGTGGACGGTAGCTTACAAAAGTCACGTACTCCTCCCGTAGTCAAGGTTTTAATTAACTACAGTAACTACATGTTTTCTGTATGTTTTCATTCGTTATTATTACGCTAAGCAAACGTCTAAGACATGTCATTAGTGAGAGATTTTTATTTTACTTCTTTATTGGAACTCGTATTTAAGATTCTTTTTTTTACTTTGGTATTTATTTTCACTGACTAAGTCATATTATTAATGATAATTGGTTTAGTGATTAATTATTATTAACCAGAAAAGAACCAACAGCACCACCAACTCCAATAAAAACATAAATTACTTTAAAACCGACAAAAGCCTCACTTAAATCATGCGACCTACCCTTTCGGATTTATTTATTGGTTCTGTTTCTTGTAGAGAATGGTCCCATACCAAAGTCCCAACGAGATTTCAACTTGATCAAAACAACTTGCGTTTTCAAAATTCCTTCCTTGATAATCTGCCCACACTTTCTGCTTTTACAATCACAACTTTCATTTCTCCACCACTTTAAATGTGTGGCTTAAGCTATAAGCTATGCAGCAAGGGATTTTACTAATGACTATTTTTTTTATTACTACTACTAAAAACTAGTCTAATTCTGTAGGGTGGTGAAAAACCAGCATTACAAATTCCATTGTGTCCTCAAGCAGGAAACTTTTCTGATTACAAAAAGAGGAATCATTCAAAATCTTTTTCTTTTCACTCGGGAAATATCATCAAAACCATCATCACTCCAAACTTGTCCACCATGCCTGAAATTTTCTTCTTGTTCATCCATGTTTCTTGTTCTTCTAGGTGGGCCATTTCCAGTCCTACCTTTCATCCGTCTATCAAAGTCCCTTTCCCTTAAGTTGCTACCTCTCTCATGAAAATCCGACTCGTTCGAACAGAATCTATAATGTTGTCTAGGTCCATCTTCAGCATTAAGGTGAAAGTTCTCACCAACATTACTATTAGCGTTGTTATAGGGAGGCCTGAAAGTTCGAACAGGACCTCGTCTCTCACCAAATCTTCTCCTCTCCTCACCATTTCCTTCACTATTATTATGCTCTAGCATCCTGCCAGAATGCATAGGCCCGCCACTACCAAAGTATTCGTCATCATTATCTGCTCTGTCTCTGGGATCTACAACATCAAATCTTCTGTTGCTCCTGATTAAAATCCTACCAGATGGACTCCTATTGGAAATGCCGGGTCTTGGATGACCATGGTCCCTTGCAGAATCAATGTCCCTCATATCATTAGAAGGTCGTGATATAAATTGGGGTGAGCCATGTCTCCTAACCACTCTCTCCCCAGTGAAAACGGGTCGATCAGGGGATCTCATTCTGTCAACTCTGTATAATGGTGATCTTCTATGAGACATTTCAGGATGGCCACCAAAACCATCTGGGGATCTTCTTCTGGGGGATCTCCTTCTTGGAGATGACCATTGACCAGGAGAACGACTCCTTGATCTGACGGGCGACTTTGAACGCATTCGAGCAAGACCACCCCTTCTCTGCATTGAAGAAAAATTCCTACCCCTTCCTCTTGAAAACCGACCATCCAGTCCTTCAAATTGTTGTGGGCGTGAATACACTGAATCTAGGGTATCGGGAAAACCCCTCATAAATTTCTCACTGTGCCTCATACCACCTAACTCTGAACCATCCCCCCCAATACATCTATTATTCGGGCTAACCGCCCTTGGATTTCTGTGACCCATTTGGATCCCATCTCTTCCACCTGCAGGTGACCTTCTTCTTGGTGCAATGTAAGAGCCGTCATTCAATGGCTTTCTACCTAATCGTCCATTGACAACATATGAGTCATCTGGTCCAACATTGTTGTACTCCAGATCAGTATCATCAATAGCAGAAGCATATTTTGACCTCGAGCCGCGGAACTGTTGACTCGGACCATTGTAAAATTCACCAGAATATTCACGCTCAGATTCCCAATCACCGCGAATTCGATTATTAACTCTTCCTCTACCACGTCCAAAATTTAATCTAGAGTTCCTGTCTTGATGTCTTTCTCTTGAAAATCTATGGGGAGCATCAATGTAAACTTCATCTCTGAAAATCAAAGCAAGAGAAAACACATGAGCAACTGAATACAGCTTAAGTAATATAAGGAGGAAAATATAGTATATATGGGACTAAAAAGCTTACCTTCCTCTGTATAACTTATCCCCGTCAAGTGTGTCGGACAAAACATCTCTTCCAGCTCGAGTTGGAAGAGATCTGCCTGAAATAGGCCTAGTTTTACTAGGAGATGACGAACTAGCAGCTCGTGACAGATCTATTATTCTTCCTTGATTACCACTGTTACAAACATCTTTAGTTATATCTTCAGCATTTGCATATCCTTCCATCTTAGGAAAATCAAAGTCAGTTTGTCTAACTGTGTCGGTTGTCTTCACAACCTCATCAGCACATTGGACATCTATCACATGGCTTCCATCAATGGCATGATCAGAAGGCTGTACATCCTGAGTTTCAGATGAAATTATTCTTTCTGAAAGATCTAATTGTTTCCTTTCCAAAACATTAACTGGTCTCTTATCAGCAGCGATATCAGATTTTTCACCGTCCAATGACTCTTGCACACACACATTTTTATCAATGACTTTACCAAGCTTCTCATGCATTGGAATGTTCACACCATCTTTACTAATTATTTCATTGTGGATTACAGAAGTATTGTCATTTTCCACCACACGAGATGAAGTGAGATAATCATTACTCACAACTCCTTTCTCCACTGGTTTATTATCATAATTACCTAAGTCGGGATGTTCTACCTCTCTTACCTCACATATGATGTCCTCCACTTTGGAAGGCTCCAGGGGTTCTCTAACCTCACCATCCTCGTAATCATCATCTTCAACGTATCGCCCAATGTCTACAGCAACAGTTACAGCATGGTTGTCATCTGACTCTAAATCAGAACCATAAGAATCATCCTCCAACATATCAGCAGACAAGGTTATCTTTTCTTCATCACTAACACAGCCTTCACGGCTATCTCGAGGATCAGAAGGCTCATTCATGAGTTTCAATCTACAACCATCATGATCATCAGCCACTTCTTTCTTGGTAACAACAGAAGAATATTTCAAGGCATGATTACTCAATTCTGTAGCAGTACCAACCATAGGAAAAGCAACTGTTACCAGAGGAACAGGCTCAGGATTTGAGGAAACTTCCTCACAGGCTTTTTCAACATTTACTCCTTCTGCGCGGCTACAATTTTCCGGTTGACCTGTTATATTTTTACTAGTAGTTAATACTGGTGTACAGACAGCTTTCACAGTGGGATGAGCTCCCTTTGCAGAAACTTGAGTAGAATTCAACACAACTGACCCTGTCCTGGAAGCAGAAGAACTTAATGATATTTGTGGCAACACTTTAATCAACTGACCTGTAGCAGTACTCTCGGCTGTTTTGGATCTTTCCTGACTACCCTCATGACTTGGTTCAGATTTAATGACTGTAGAATCAACCAACTTTGAATTGCTAACAGTTGAATTAGATGTCTTAATAGTTGAATGATGAATAAATTCTTGTTTGACAGCAGCATTGTCTAATGAACCTACAGGACCGGCACTAGCTTCTTTCAAATTCTTTTTTAAGTTATCATCACATGGCTCTGATTTTACCAACCTAAAACTAGCAGTATTTGCATCACCAGCAGTACCTTCCAGACTTGGCAAACTAACAACGGGAGTAGCACTGCCTGAATTTAGTTCAGGCGATATTCTAGAGGGCTCCTCAACATACTTTTGAACATAAGATGAAAGACAGAGATCACGTGAATCGACGCATCTATACTGCTGCCCATGCAGACTCGGTGAAGTAATGGTGGTAGCTTTGTTCTGATTTTTTTTATGTGCTTGCATTTCAGATATAACACTTGTTGGTGGTGTCATCCCAGTGTTGCTCAATAACTGTTTTGCATCATGTGCATTGTGAGTAATATTCAGTCCATCAATAGAAGTTTTAACAGAACTGGCATCACTCCCTTCATCCCATGCATCCATTGTAGTATTCAGATCCCAGTTAGCCCTGCTATTAACACGAGTAGTGTCACTATCACTTTTAGCATCAGTATTTGAACTATGAGTACTACATTCCTCCTTGCTTAAAGATAATTCCAGTGAGACAGGTTCTCCTTTATCGAGATTGGGATTTATCTCGTTAATTTTCGAACTTGTAACAGATGCAAACAAATGCTCCTTAAAGCTTAAAGATAAGCTAGTACTACCAGAAACTACAGGACTCTCTTGTTTAACCGTGTCTTGGACAATTTGTTTGCTCACATCCGCTCCAATGCCAAGTGCAAGACCTTGTTTTGCAGCCAATGAGAGTGCTGTATTCGGCTTAATTGTTTGGGATCCCAAATTTTTATCATTACATTCATTAAGGACCACCTTTTCTTTGCTATTCACAACAGCCAAAGTACACGATGGAGTTTCAGAGTTAGATTTCTCCTGTTTAGGCATAAGCAAAGATTTTTTTTGCCCCAAGTCAGCATTGGTGACTTCAGAAGTCAATTTCTTTTCTTCAAAAACAGGGTTCCCAATGGTAACATCAGAAGTCGATTTCTTTTCTTCAAAAACAGGGTTCCCAATGGTAACATCAGAACTTGATTTCTTTTCTTCAAATACAGTGTTTCCAATGGTATCAGGTAACCCAGCAGAACTGGTGGAAAGGGTTGAACCCAGCGACGTGCTTGAATGATCCTTTCGCAAAGCATGACTTTTTTCCTGAAGCGAAGCCTCTTCCAAAGAAGGTGAAGAAGCTTGAAGTGAAGAAGGAAACCTCCTTTTCTTGATAGGTGCACCTGCGATACTGAGATTTGATAGAGTCGATCCTTGAGAAGCGCTTGAATTTTCTTTTCGTTGCAACTCAGTTTCTTCAGGGATTGAACATGTTTCTTCAGAAGGAGGAGTCGGAGGAGAAGAAGACCTAAACAGAGGTGGGTACCTCCTTTTCTTGATTGGCACACCTGCAACTAAATCACTAAATTGACCAGCAAAGGACTTTACCCCACTCTGTCAATATAATATCAAGTAATCAATATCCAAAAAAGAACAAATTCGCATGGTTCTCTAATCGTAGTTAGCTGTAAATCATAAAGGAAATAAACACCTCTTCATGTCCTGAAATCGGCATGGTTCCAAAGTTTGCAATAATCAACTCAAAACCTTTCTTTCAAACTTCAGTTATTATGATTCAATTGCAACAAATCTTCGACAAATATATTAAAGTTCGCAAAAAATTCCTGCACCTAATAAACTATTTGTGAACATTACTTCCAAAAAAACACTCCCACTATCCAAGTAAACCAGATCCAAGCCTTAATCTCACTTCAAACAAAGCACCTGCCAAACAAAACAAAATGATGTAACGTAACATCTTAATCCAATTAAAATCACTGATCAAATTATCAAAGCAAAATTAAATGAAGTAAAATATTAATTGCATATTAGATCCAAAACTAACTAACTAACCACGTAGTACAGCAAATTAACGAAACCGATGAATAATTTGAAAAATATTCAGAGTAAAAATTTGAAGAAACTAACTACCGACAGTTGATTTCTTCAAATTTCTGAACAAAACCAAACTTCAGCAACCATATATATAAATCAAACGCTGAAATTAGATCCGTTTCTTCATTGACAAAATAAATATCGATGAAATCTCGTATCAAAAGGAAACGAACAAATAAACCTAACAATGAAAAAATTCACAGAATCAAGTAGCGTGGAGCGAGAAAATTTATCAATGAAGAAACAGATCTAAAACTAAACAAATTGATAAATTCAAAAAAGCGTAAAGTATTGCATAGAGCAAGGAATCACCGTAAATTGCAGGCCGAGGAAGAATCAAACAAAAAGCTTAGAAAATTTTCAGATCTCGACGATGAAAATGAAGAAGATAAGGACGAAGAAGAAGAGGGAAAAAATACCTGAAGGTTGTGGAAAAAGGGTTTTGCAACTTCGACGAAAGAGCGAGAAAGAAGAGATTATAAACGAATAAACGAATCTCTTTCTCCCTCTAAAACACACACTCTCACTTTCTCTCTCTAAAAATTAGGGTTTGCAAATTTGCGCCGAATTTATTGAATAATTTGACTTTGTGAAAGTGTGGGCTTATTCTTTTCTACCTGTACTTCATTCATAGTACTTGATATGAGACCATATAAATTATAGATAAATATTATAAGTAAGAAAAAAATTAAATGTTTATTAATTAAATAGTTGATATACATAAAAATTAGTAACGAAGTAATATTGATCGGAAAAAAGAAAAAATAGGCCGAATTTTATTAAAATTTGATGCTTAAATGTGTATTTTGTTTTAATATACTAAGGATTCTACCGACGTGACGCGTCAACTAACATGAACCCATGTGTTTTTCTTTTGACGTGGTGGTGGGTTTTCGTTCGTTGATTTCTTATCTTTTGATGTGGACCGTTGGATGGAAAGTAAAGACTTTTTGATTTGGATTTATTCTTGCTGGACCCTCGTGTCACGTTGTTTATACCCAATCTTCTTACGTTAGGTTCCACCAAAAATATGATATTTAGTTAAATGTTTTGCGGATGAAAATAAAGTAATTATAACTAATAATAAAATCAGAATAATTTTGATGTACGTGTCAAAAAATAAAAAACAAGAAAGATTTTGATGATTAGACTATTTATGAGTTCAAAATCTGACTTTGTAGTCATTATTATTAATTAACTTTAAACTAACGTTTCTCAATTTTATTTATTAATTTTGTAAATATAATAAATTAGTAATTGATCAAAAATTTAATTTGTGTTTTGATAGTACCTTTAATTCTTAAAGAGAAAGAAAAGAAATGTATTGATAAGTAAAATATTTTACAGAGCCAATCAATAATAAATATGTATTATAATAAATTATATTTAATTTTAAATATAAGTATTTTGATTGATTATCTATATAAAATTATTTTATATTGATACTGAATTATATTTAATCTTATTTTTAAATGAGATTAATTATTATATATAGTCAGTGTAAAATTCTTTACACAATCACTATATCACAATCATTTATAAATATTATTTTATAAATAAATAAAATAAAAATTAAATTTTAATAAACATTTAATGATTGCGATGTTTATATTTTCGGTACATACTAATTAAATTCTTCTTTATTAATAATATTTTGGGTTAGAAATATAAAAAGTTACATTAAAGAGGAAATGACTGAAATCTATTCAATTAAGTCATTTTTTATTTTAAATATTTTTAATAATATGGCCGAATATTTATTTTTTATTATTTTATTATATGAGATATTGTAAAATTATTTTATAGTGTATTATATTTTAATCTAAATTAAATAAGAGTATTAATTAGTAATTATTAGTATATAAGAATAATAATGACATTAAATGATAATTAAGTTGTTGGGATTGGTTTATATTTCATTTCAATAAATATTAGTATCTCTTTTTGTTTATAGTCAATCACATTAAAAGTAGTATATGTTACTAGTATATCACAATTTAACAATTAAAATTTATGAAGGTGTCCATTAATGACTGAATTAATTAATTTTATTACCAAAGAAAAATTGCATATATAACCAACTTAAGACAGACCCTTTCTCGTGCAGTGTATATATTGAAATGAAAAAGATATTGTCAACTCTTCTATTAAATTGACTTTCAAATGGCTCATTCTTAAAAATAGATCTGAGTTCATTTTTTTCCAGCTAAACCTTGGATGGTTTTTGTAAATTTTCCTACCAACTAGCTTAGGAGGCTCCATTTAACAATAATAGTGTTAATAATAAAGGTAACTTGAAATCTATGGTGTTTTTGTGACTCTGATTTAAATCTGGACGTTTTGACTATGGATGATCACTTTATTTCTTTCACAATCAAGTTTTAAGATAAGTTTTTGAGTTGGTTGCATTTTATGTCTAAATCAATTATGTAACAAAAATAGACCTTTGGAACGAGCTTTCTAAAACCATCTCAAACATGATATCCCTTCGTGCTTTGTAGGAGACTATAACACAATCTTAGGGGTTCATGAATATATGGGATTTCATCATCCTGCTAGAATTCTTATGGAGGATTTCTCCACATAGACTGACTCTAATCACTTTCTTCATATCTCAACCTCGAAGGTAATGTTTACTTGGAACAGTGGTAGAAAGGGGTGGTGTTAACACTCATAATAGATTTGATAGGAAAATTTATAACCACAAATAGATCGATATTTGTTATAGTCTTTTTTGAACAACTCTTGTGAAATCAAACGCTGATTGTTATCATCTCTTAATAGATTTTGATAGTCATGTTAAAAAAATTATTTCTCAATTAATATGCCTTTATATGTGGAGCCACCATCCTAGTTGTGAAGATGTCATCACCTTCACTTGGTCCACAAAAGTTGTGGGTTGTTTTATGTATACCCTCATTAAGAAACTCTAACTTCTTAAATCTAATTTAAAGCTTTGAAACAATAACACTTTTGTAATGTGAAGGATAATGTGAACATAGTTGAGTCCAATCTCAAATATATTCAAAATCTAATTGTCTTTATAAGCCATTATGACTTGTTTGCAGACCGAGTAAGGAGTGTTAATGCACACTTGATCAGGCCCATAACTTAGAAGATATATTTTGGAGAGATAAGGCTAGATTTAAGTGGCATGTTGAATGAGATAAAAATACAAAGTTATTCCACAATTGGCCAAAATAAAAAATACAACTGTTGATTCACTCAATCAAAGAATAATATGGTAGTCACATACAAGGAGCAAATAGCAAGCCATGTGATGGAGCATTTTCAACATCTTTTTAATAATGATTATGTTTTACGTCTTCATCTTGAGGGAGGAAGTAATCCCCCAATCTTGTCAATGAACATACTAATGCTCTCCTGACAATGCTCTCTGCAATGGAAGAGACATATATTCAATGTTCAACTTGAAGAAGGATAGTGCTTCAGTTCTAGATGAATTTGGCCTATATTTCTTCCAGACTTATTGGCACATCATCATTGTATTATTCCAATCACTAATATAGATAAATGGTGTATAAACTTCATTTAGAGTGGTGATACATTAACTAGGAAGTTTTCATAGTTGCATGGAACAAATGTTTCCAGAGTAGGGAAGTTCGATGTCTTAGACTTAGATCTTTAACCTATATTAATGAGAAATCTAATTTGCTTCAGTGTTGAAAGATGGCCAATTCAAAGATTCATTAGCCTAGAGTTATCAAATTCAGGGATTTCAAACCTAGTAGCCACATCAGGCATCACATATCATATTCCATATGAACTAGATTGAAAATATTGTTAATGATCTCAAAGTAAACTCTAGATGGCTCATTGGCCAAGGAGATAAGATTAATTTCTTGTTGGATAATCGGTGTGGTTTAATTCTTGTTGATCATCTCAATATTTCTAATGCCACTTTCAACAATCTTAAAATAATGTTGAACTCTTTCATTCAGAAATTTTATCATAATTTTTAATGATGGCAAGGACTGCTTGGTATGGTTCCCTAATAAAGATGGCCAACTATATCTAAAGGTTTCCTACAATCACTTAGTGGGAACCCTTCAACCAACAACATGGGGAAATATATTATGGAATAAATGCATCCCCCGTTTTATCTCCTTGTTCTTTTGAAGGCTCAATTATGACAAGGTCCCAACATATGACATTATTTCCCAAAGAGGGATCCATATGACATCCATCTATAGTTTGTGCATGGCTCAAGAAAGAAAAGCATAACTCACTTGTTCTTTGTTTGTAATTTTGCTCTGAACCTTTGGAGATGGTTAGCCAACATCTCTAATGTCCATCCAGTCATCTCTTCTCTAGATGACATCTAGAAGCTCATTGAAGGTAGTAACTTTTGTCATATAAAATCTATTCTTTTGTCCCCCTTTGTGCATATTATTAATGAGATTTGAAAAGCTAGATACAACTCTTGATTCAATGACCATAAGTCATCTTGGAAGTCTTACTCTGGTATGACTCATTCTCAGATTTCTCTTTCAGGGACTATGATTAAACTTGTGGCTAATTTGTCCATTCAAGACTTTATGCTCCTCAAAATTTCCAAGATCAATGCCAACCCTCTTCTCCTCGAAGGGTTAGAAAATA